GGAACAGAATTGTTACTGAGGGACACATGAATTGTTACTCAGGGACAGACACAGAATTGTTACTCAGGACAGACAGATTGTTACTGAGGGCCACAGAAATGTTACTTAGGGCCACAGAAACATTGTAGGTGGGACACAGAACTGTTTATCAGGGACCAAGACACAGCAATGTTACTGCACAGTGACAGACCACAGTTAATTGTTACTCCGGGACACAGAATTTGTTACTGAGGGTACCACAGAACGTTACTTAGGGCCACAGAACCGTTAATCAGGGACAGACACAGTTGTTACTCAGGGACAGGACCACAGAATTGTTACTGAGGGACACAGAATTGTTACTGGGGAACACAGAAGATACTCGGGACATCAGAATCTGTTACTCAGGGACACAGAATTGTTACTGAGGGCCACCGAACGTTACTTAGGGCCACACGAATTGATTACTCAGGGTGGACAGACACTAGAGAATTGTTATCTGAGGGACACAGAATTGTTATTACTGAGGGCCACAGAAACGTTACTTGAGGGCCACAGAAACGTTACTCAAGGGACAGGACACAGAATTCTTACTCAGGGACAGTCACAGAATTGTTACTCAGGGGACACAGAATTGTTACTGTGCGGACACAGGACAGTATTGTTACTGAGGGCCACAGAAGTTGTTACTCTAGGGACACAGTATTGTTTAATGAGGGCACACAGAATTGTTACTCGAGGGACACAGTATTGTTAACTCAGGGGCAGACACAGAATGTTACTGAGGGCCACAGACTGTTACTTAGGGGACAGAAAACTGTTACTTAGGGCCACAGAAACGTTACTCAGGGACACAAGAATGTTACTCAGGAGGGACAAGAATTGTTACTGAGGGACACAGATTGTTACTGAGGGACACAGAATTATTTTGTTACTCAGGGGACAGACACAGAATTGTTACATGAGGGCCCACAGAAACTGTTACTTAGGGCCACAGAAACTGTTACTTAGGGCCACAGAAAAACGTTACTCAGGGGACAAGAATTGTTACTCAGGGACACAGATATCGTTTTAATTAAAGAGTATGTCAGACAACAACATGCAGAGGAGTGGCAGAGGAGGCAATGTTTTAAGGAGCGAGCAGACGTGGCAGCAGAGGAAGGGGTAGAAGGCAGCACTATTCGCAGCAGAGGCTAGTGCATCCGGTGTCATCCAGTACAGTGAGGAAAGAGCTATCAGAGGTGGCGCGGTCAGGAACGGGGGGAGACATCGCCTCTTTCAGCAGCCAGGCGAAGAAGTAGTGGCGAGGAGAGTGGCTCGGTAGCCGGTTGTAGAGACAGGTCTGTCTCCTGACCCACACGCAGCCGAGGGGGCTAGTAGTGAGGCGAGAGACCCTAATGATGATGATGAGGGCCTGATCGCACTTGGCGAGCCTAGTCGTCATCAGGCTATTGCTTCCGCATCATCAGGAGAAGAGGGTGGCAGCTTGGCAGCGAGCAAAACAGTCGGTGGTTGTCTCCATCGCCACACTCTGCATGTGCCACTTTCAGGTCTCCTTCACACATGCTGGTGTGTTGAATTTTTTGACATAGGGTGCTGGCAGATTACGGCTCCCATAGCTGTCTGCCAGGCCCCTAATCTGCCATGGGCCCCTATATACGCCTCCTCATGCTGCTGCCAAGTCCAGAGTCTCTCATGGGTCCTGTACCGGCCTCCATTGCTGCTGTCTCCATCGCCCATTTTACTTAAATACCCCCCCCATACTCTGCCATGTGCCACTTTCAGGTCCACCTAACACACTGCTGGTGTGTTGAATTTTTTGACATAGGGTGCTGGCAGATTTACGGGCCTCCTATAGTGCTGTGTCAGGCCCCTAATCTGCCATAGGCCCCTATATACCGCCTCCTCATGCTGCTGGCCAAGTCCAGAGTCTGTCATGGGTCCCTGTACGGCCTCCCATTGCTGCTGTCTCATCGCCACACTCTGCCATGTGCCACTTTCAGGTCTCAATCACACACTGCTGTGTGTTGAATTTTTTGACATATGGGTGCTGGCAGATTACGGGCCTCCCATAGTGCTGCCAGGCCCCTAATCTGCCATGGGCCCCTCTATATTTTTTGTTTTTTTTTGTTATTTTATTTATTCCTCCTCCATGCTGCTGCCAGTCCAGAGTCTCTCATGGGTCCCTGTACGGCCTCCCATTGCTGCTGTCTTCCATCGCCACACTCTGCCATGTGCCACTTTCAGGTCTCCTCACAATGCTGGTGTGTTGAATTTTTTTGACATAGGGTGCGGCAGATTACGGGGCCTCCATAAGCTGCTGCCAGGCCCCTAATCTGCCATGGGCCCTATATATACCGCCTCCTCATGCTGCTGCCAAGTCCAGAGTCTGTCATGGGTCCCTGTACGGCCTCCCATTGCTGATGTCTCCATCGCCACACTCTGCCATGTGCCACTTTCAGGTTCTCTCTCACACTGCTGGTGTGTTGAATTTTTTGACATAGGGTGCTGGCAGATTACGGGCCTCCCATAGTGCTGCCAGGCCCCTAATCTGCCATGGGCCCCTTATACCGCTCCTCATGCTGCTGCCAGTCCAGAGTCTGTCATGGGTCCCTGTACGGCCTTCATTGGCTGCTGTCTCCGTCGCCACAGCTCTGTCATGTGCCACTTTCAGGTCTCCTCACAAGCTGGTGTGTTGAATTTTTTGACATAGGGTGCTGGCAGATTACGGGCCTCCCATAGCTGCTGCCAGGCCCCTAATCTGCCATGGGCCCTATATACCGCCTCCTCATGCTGCTGCCAAGTCCAGAGTCTGTCATGGGTCCTGTACGGCCTCCATTGCTGCTGTCTCCATCGCCCACACTCTGCATGTGCCACTTTCAGGTCTCCTCACACTGCTGGTGTGTTCAAAATTTTTTGACAATAGGGTGCTGGCAGATTACGGGCCTCCCATAGCTGCTGCCAGGCCCCTAATCTGCATGGGCCCCTATACCGCCTCCTCATGCTGCTGACCAAGTCCAGAGTCTGTCATGGGTCCCACATGTACGGCCCTCCATTGCTGCTGTCTCCATCGCCACACTCTGCCTTCTATGTGCCACTTTGCAGGTCTCCTCACACTGCTGGTGTGTTGAATTTTTTGACATTAGGGTGCTGGCAGATTTCGGGCCTCCCATAGCTGCTGCCAGGCCCCTAATCTGCATGGGGCCCTATACCGCCTCCTCATGCTGCTGCCAAGTCCAGAGTCTGTCATGGGTCCTGTACGGGGCCTCCATTGCTGCTGTCTCCATCGCCACACTCTGCTGTGCCACTTTCGGTCTCCTCACACACTGCTGGTGTGTGGTGTTGAATTTTTTGACATAGGGTTGTGGCAGATTATGGGCCTCCCATAGCTGCTGCCAGGCCCCTAATCTGCCATGGGCCCCTGTACCGCCTCCTCATGCTGCTGCAGGTCCACAGTGTCTCATGCCATGTGCCACTTTCAGGTCTCCTCACACACTGCTGGTGTGTGAATTTTTTGACATAGGGTGCTGGCAGATTACGGGCCTCCCATTGCTGCTGCCAGGCCCTAATCTGCCATGGGCCCCTGTACCGACTCCTCATGCTGTGACGTTGCAACAAGGTGGAATTCAACCCTACATATGTTAGACCGCCTTTACGAACAGCAAAAGGCCATACAGATTTCCTGATGTTAAAAGCGGATAAAGGTACTCCCTGTGTAACTTAGATGTCAGCCATTGGCAGCTCATGCGTGACACTCTGCGCTTGCTCAGGCCATTTGAGGAGGCCACGCTATTCGTGAGTCGGCAGGACTATGGGATGAACGACGTCATTCCTCTGTTGCACGTCCTGGAACAAATGCTGTTAATAATGGCTGGTCAGGGTGCGGTAGACGTGGCGCACAGATCTCAACGCACATGACCCCTGTGGGGGGCAGGACAGGAAGAAGAGGAGGAGGTAGAGGAGGAAATTGGTGCTCAGGAATTATTGAGTGAAATGGGTGGTTTTTCCACTCAGCGGACAGGTGTGGAGGAGCAGGAGCATCTGGTAGAGGAGGAGGAAGAGGAGACAGAGGACCCAGACGCACCGTGGCAGTATGCTGTGGAGATGGAGGGCAGGGAGTCCTCGCATTCCTTGGCACAAATGGCCCATAGCATGCTCGCTTGCTTGCGTACGACAGCCGAATAATAAACCATCAGACAGAGGGATGACTTTTGGCTGTCCACCTTGTTGGACCCTCGCTACCGTTCCAAAATGGTGGCCTTTTTCACACCTGCTGAGAGGGAGGCCAAAATAACGTACTATAAAAAACCACCTATGTAGTCAGCTGGTCTCTGCCTGTCTGCGCCAACGTCCATCCTCAGACACTGTGGGCCCTGTGCGCTCGCGTTACGCTGCCATGGCAGCAGGGGAGGGGTGGGGTGGTAGGAGCAGTGGCAGCTCCACCAGCAGCAGCTGCCTCAGTCTGCAGTTGATGATGAGTAGCTTTCTTCACCAGCGCAGTGAGGAAACTAATAACCAGCCGCAGCAGCAGCAGCATCAGGTGGACCTGGAGCAGGACCTCAAACAACAGGCTTAGGCCTACTTGGACAGCACCCTGCCAACCGAGGTAGGTCAATCCCCTTGACTACTGGGCAACGAAACTTGACCTTTGGCCCCAACTAGCTGAATTTGCCTTGAAAGGCTGTCATGCCCGGCCCAGTAGAGTGGCATCGGAGTGCGCGTGTTTAGTGCGGCAGGAGGTATTGCAACTCCGCGGAGGACACGACTGTCCACCCAAAGTGTGGAGAGGGACTCACGTTTGTGAAAATGAATCAGGCGTGGGATTAGTCTTGATTTCAAACCACCAGTTTCCTGAACACAACTGACTAAATCCGCCATGAATCATGCCCCAAACATGTGCCACTTTCAGGTCTCCTCACACTGCTGGTGTGTTCCATTTTTTGTCATAGGGTGCTGGCAGATTACGGGCCTCCATAGCTGCTGCCAGGCCCTAATCTGCCATGGGCCCCTATACCGCCTCCTCATGCTGCTGCCAAGTCCAGAGTCTCTCATGGGTCCCTGTACGGCCTCCCATTGCTGCTGTCTCCATCGCCACACTCTGCCATGTGCCACTTTCAGGTCTCCTCACAATGCTGGTGTGTTCAATTTTTTGACATAGGGTGCTGGCAGATTACGGGCCTCCCATAGCTGCTGCCAGGCCCTAATCTGCCATGGGCCCTATACCGCCTCTCATGCTGCTGCCAAGTCCAGAGTCTCTCATGGGTCCCTGTACGGGCCTTCCCATTGCTGCTGTCTCCATCGCACACTCTGCCATGTGCCACTTTCAGGTCTCCTCACACTGCTGGTGTGTTCAATTTTTTGGACATAGGGTGCTGGCAGATTACGGGCCTCCCATAGACTGCTGCCAGGCCCCTAATCTGCCACTGGGCCCCTATACCGCCTCCTCATGCTGCTGCCAGGTCCAGAGTCTCTCATGGGTCCCTGTACGGCCTCCATTGCTGCTGTCTCCATCGCCACACTCTGCCATGTGCCACTTTCAGGTCTCCTCACACACTGCTGGTGTGTTGAATTTTTTGTCATAGGGTGCTGGCAGATTACGGGCCTCCTATAGCTGCTGCCAGGCCCCTAATCTGCCATGGGCCCCTATACCGCTCCTCATGCTGCTGCCAGGTCCAGAGTCTGTCATGGGTCCCTGTACGGCCTCCATTGCTGCTGTCTCCATCGCCACACTCTGCCATGTGCCACTTTCAGGTCTCCTCACACACTGCTGTTGTGTTCCATTTTTTGTCATAGGGTGCTGACAGATTACGGGCCTCCCATTGCTGCTGCCAGGCCTGTTAATCTGCCATGGGCCCCGTACCGCCTGGTCACGCTGCTGCTGGGTCCACAGTGTGACATGGGTCCCTGTACCGCCTCCCATTGCTCCCACTCTGCCATGTGCCACTTTGAGGTCTCCTCACACTCCTGCTGTTTTCCATTTTGTCATAGGTTGCTGGCAGATTACAGGCCTCCCATAGGTGCTGCCAGGCCCCAAATCTGCCATGGGCCCCCGTACCGCCTCGTCACGCTGCTGCTGGGTCCACAGTGTGACATGTGTCCCTGTACCGCCTCCCATTGCTCCCACTCTGCCATGTGCCACTTTGAGGTCTCCTCACACTCCTGCTGGTTTTCCATTTTGTCATTGGTTGCTGTAATGGCCTCCCATTGCTGTGCCTCCACCGCCACACTGTGGCTCCAAACACTGGTTTTGGCCCCGTGACTGGCCAAATGAGTGAAGTGTGCGGTGATTCTAAGATCGACGGCACTCATCTGCATGTCATACTGACTGACAGTATTATTTCTCTTCCCCAGCAGACTCCAAGGGCATTTAAATTAAAGGTACAGTGTTCTGCACTAATATTAAGTCTCTCTGAAGCCTAGAAACACCCTTTTTTAGTTAAATTCACAGCGAATATATTCGACTCGAATCGAATATTGTCCACGAATTCGCTCGAATCAGTCGAATTCGAATTTTTTGAATACTTCGCTCATCTCTAGTCACCACAATGTCTAAAAAAGTATTTACCAGAGAGGTGGCTTACCAAATCCTAAGTATTACTGATGAGAGCAGCAGGGAGCCCTCTGTGTCTGAGTCTGATTTTGGTTTGGAATACGAACCAGTTTTAAGTAGTAGGTTTGCAACAGAATAAGAGGAGGATAAAAGTGTTCCCCACCAAACATAAGCATTCTGATGAGGAACAGGCAACTATGAGTAGTGCAGTGGCATCCACCAGTAGCACAGTGGCATCCACCAGAAAACTGAGTGCCTATGCAGGAAAGGTCAGGTACTAGTGGGGTGCCACATCAGCCCCAAAGGATTAGAGCCCATGCCAATCTTCGATATGCCCTTCAAAACTCTCTATGGCTTCCCCCTTTTACTGCACAGCCAGGTGTCCAGATAACACTGAATATTTTGCCTGCCATTGATTTTTTTCTTTTAGTTTTTACTAATAGTTTACTAAGTTTCAATTGTGGACCAGTGCAATCTCTATGCCCAACAATTTATAGCCAACAACCCAACTTCATATTATGCCCATCCCTATGAATAGAAACATTAACAGTGGAGGAGTTCAAAATCTGTTTGTGCCTTACATTTAATATGGGCTTACAAAAATGAATTATACTCCTACTAGTCCACCCACCCCATCCATCACATGCCCATTTATTCATCCGTTATGCCCAGAACACATTAGCATATGCTGTGTCATTTCGGGGAGGGCACTGGGTGTTATAATTGTAATGGAGGAACCACATGATCATAAAATAAACTATTTTTATTTTGTTCCAAAAATACTTTATTAATATAAGAAGAAGAAACAAAATAGCATATAGAGCATATACAGCTATAGATCACAGTCAGAACATAAAACATGACATGTTGCCTCCCGTTTCGCAGACGGGACATATTGTAAACTGTAATACAAGTCAAAATGGGGTAGAACATTACGTAAGGCATACAATGTAAACCACTGGATACGCAGAGGAAAGCAGATCGATGTATGTATATGTTGTCACGTCTTGAATATTAGCAATTTTTAATGATGAGGTGATATGAAGATTAGGGTAAAAAAGTACGTTTTTGGTTTTCTCTGGGTTTTTCAAATCTCATATTAGGGTCTGTAGACCAGAGGCTTTGAAGAGATTTGGGTGGGAAGAATGCTCTACCCCATGCTCAGGTCTTACCTGGCCACGGCCGACTCTGGCCTGTCGATTGATCATGTCTCTGCCTGCCACCTGAACAAACTGCACTCCTGCCTGCTATCTGTACTCACTGTATTCTTCCAGGACCAATACTTTGGCTGTTACTGACCATGTTGCTTCCTGGATAATTCCTTTGGCTGTTGCTGACTATTTATGTCTGCTGCCTGAACCAGTGCTTTGGCTCTGCTAACAATATCTCTGCCTGCTGCCTGTACTGACTATGGACAGTATTCCTGCCTGCTGTCTGCACAATTCCTTTTGCTATCACTGACCATGTCCCTGCCTACTGCCTGGACCAATGCTCTCCTCTGTGAACAACTGCACAACTAAAACCACAGGTAATTTTGTTGTTATCCTTTGCTCAGTAAAATGTATTTTGGGATGTAATTCTTGTTATGTATATTCTGTGTGTTAGAAATATCTTATAAATGGACAACTTTGTGTAAAAAAAATTTTCATTTTCTTTCCACATTTTCCAAAAACTTGTGGAAATAAATGGCATGTTCAAAACACTCCGTGTGAAGTTTAGTGGTGCCGCTCTGAAGGCAGACCAAGAGAGAGGAATTGCCTCACTGGCAGAGGAATGAAGGGAGCAGCATCCTAGGTTTTGTTCAAGTATCTTTAGTGAAGTGAGGGGAGTGAACGCCGCTCAAAACCATCCCCAGGAGTCAAGCGTGTTGAGTGTGTGGCCTCAGCACCATGTTAGCCACACCCTCTGATGCATTTCACCCCACCTCTGTGACATGTCTGGATGGGTGGGGTAAAACACATCAGAGGCAGGGGTGGACTGACCATTTAGGGATTCGGGCACTGCCTAAGGGCCCGGGGTCAGTAGGGGGCCCCATGAGATTCCCCTCGTATTTTTCATAGTCTTTTTTGGGTGTGGTTTGAGTGTGGGAGAGGGCACAGGGGCCCCATGATTTTCTATTGCCCGGGGGACCCATGAGTTGTCACTCCGCTCCTGATCAGAGGCCATGGCTAACACAGTGCTGAGGCCACTCCACACACTCAACAAGCTTGACTCCCGGGGATGGTTTTGAGCAGTGTCCGCTCCTCCCTGAAAATGTTCAAAAGACTCATTATGCTTCATAAAATATACCTTGGAGTATTTGCTTTCCAAAATGGGATCATTTTGTGAGTGTTTCCACTGTCCTGGTGCCCCAGGTCCTTCAATAATATGAAAGGTGGTCAGGAAATTAAATGTGTAATTTATGCTCCTAGAATGCGTAAAGGTGCTACTTGGATTTGGGGCTTCTGTTTGTGGACAGGCTGTGGAAAAGTCTCACACATGAGGTATCGCCATACTCATGAAGAGCATCAGAATGTATTTTGGGGTTTAATTATTGGTACATACAGTTGCAAGAAAAATGATGTGAATCCCTTGGGATTACTTGGGATTACGTGGAGTTTTGCATGAATTGGGCATAAAATGTGCTCTGAACGTCATCTAAGTCACAACAATAGAAGAATACAGTCTGCTGAACATAATACTACACAAACATTAGATGTTGCCATGGTTTATTTGCACATAACATGTAAACATTCACAGTGCAGGGAGGAAAAAGTATGTGAACCTTTGGACTTAATAACTGGTTGACCCTCCTTTGGCAGCAATAACCTCAACCAAACATTTCCTGTAGTTGCAGATCAGACCTGCACAACGATCTGGAGTCATGTTGGACCACTCACAAAACTGTTTCAGTGTAGCAATATTCTTGGGATGTCTGGTGTGAATCGCTCTCTTAAGGTCATGCCACAGCATTTCAATCGGGTTGAGGTCAGGACCCTGACTGGGCCACTCCAGAAGGCGTATTCTGTGCTGTTGCAGCCATTGTTTTGTTGAATTACTTGTATGCTTTGGGTCATTGTCCTGTTGCATCACCCATCCTCTGCGGAGCTTCAGTTGGCGGACAGATGGTCGTACGTTTTCCTGCGAAATGTCTTGATACACTCTGGAATTCATTTTCCCATCAATGACAACAATCCGTCCAGGCCCTGAGGCAGCAAAGCAGCCCCAAACCATGATGCTCCGTCCGCCATGTTTTACAGTGGGGATTAGGTTTTGATGTTGGTGTGCTGTGCCTTTTTTTCTCCACACATAGTGTTGTGTGTTCTTCCCAAACAACTCAATCTTGGTTTCATCTGTCCACAGTATATTTTGCCAGTAGTGCTGTGGAACATCCAGGTGCTCTTTTGCAAACTTCAAACGTGCTGCAATATTCTTTTTGGACAGAAATGGCTTCCTCTGTGGTGTCCTCCCATGTACTCCATTCTTGTTTAATGTTTTCCTTATTGTAGATGTGTCAACAAAAATGTTAGCATGTGCCAGAGATTTCTGTAGGTCTTTAGCTGACACTCTGGGATTCTTCTTTACCTCATGCAGCATTCTGCGCTGTGCTCTTGCAGTCATTTTTACAGGACGACCACGCCTAGGGAGAGTAGCAACAGTGCTAAACTTTCTCCATTTGTAGAGAGTCTGTCTTACCGTGGACACATGAACATCAAGGCTTTTGGAGATACTTTTGTAACCCTTTCCAGCTTCATGCAAGTCAACAATTCTTGATTGTAGGTCTTCTGAGAGCTCTTTTCCGTGGGGAATGGTTCACATCAGACAGTGCTTCTTGAAACCAATCAACCCAAAACAGGTGTGTGTTTTTTAAGGACAGGACAGCTGTCAGCAACACATCCAATATCATCACACTTATTGGAGTCAAGGTTGGCTCACTCCTGGCTCCAATTAGCTCTGGGAGAAGTCATTAAGCTAGGGCCTCCCGTACTTTTTCCTCCCTGCACTGTGAATGTTTACATGTTATGTGCAATTAAACCATGGCAACATCTAATGTTTGTGTAGTATTATGTTCAGCAGACTGTGTTCTTCTATTGTTGTGACTTAGATGATGTTCAGAGCACATTTTATGCCCAATTCATGCAAAACGCCACGTAATCTCAAAGGGTTCACATACTTTTTCTTGCAACTGTACATGCCGTGTGCTAGAAATATCTTAGAAATTGACAACTTTTGTGTAAAAAAACCACTTACATTTTCTTTCCACATTTTCCGAAACCTTGTGGAAAAAAATGACATATTCAAAAGACTCATTATGACTCATAGAATATACCTTGGGATGTTTGCTTTCCAAAATCAAGTCACTTTGTAGGTGTTTCTACTGTCCTGGTGTTCCAGGGCCTTCAAAAATGTGATAGGTGGTCAGGAAATTAAATATGTGCTACTTGGGTCTCTATATGTGGCTAAGCTGTGGAAATGTCTCTCACATGTGGTATACCCATCCTCAGGATGAGTAGCAGAATGTGTTTTGGGGTGTAATTGCAAGTATGCCTATGCAGTGTGAGAGAAATAACTTGTTCATATGACAATTATGTGTAAAAAAAAAAAAAAAAAAAATTTAATATTAAAGTGGAAACATTATGCTTTGGGGCTGTTTCTCTGCTAAAGGTAAAGGCCGGATTTGCTGCATGAGGGGCTAATGGATGGGCCATGTATTCTAAAATCTTGTAGGAGAACTTTCTTTACTTAGCCAGAACACTGAAGATGGGTCATGGATGGGTCTTCCAGCATGACAATGATCCAAAAAATACCACCAAGGCAACAAAGGAGTAGCTCAAGAAGAAGCACATTAAGGTCATGGAGTGGCCTAGCCAGTCTCCAGACCTTAATCCTATAGAATATTTATGGAGGGAGCTGAAACTTCGAGTTGCCAAGCGACATCCAAGAAACCTTAAGGATTTAGAGAAGATCTGTAAAGAAGATTGGGCCAAAATCCCTCCTGAGATGTGCGCAAACCAGGTAACCGCAAGAAACATCTTGCCTCTGTGCTTGCCATCAAGGGTTTCTCCACCAAGTGCTAAGTCATGCTTTGCTTGGGGATCAAATACTTGTTTTACTTACTGAACTGCAACTCAATTTATAACATTTGTATCATGTGTTTTTCTGGATTTTTGGTTGATATTCTGTCTCTATCATTTAAAATACACCTATTTATAAAAATTATAGACCCTTTATTTCTTTGTAAATGGGCAAACTTACAAAATCTGAAGGGGATGAAATAACTATTTTCCCCACTGTACATGCTGCATGTTTTGCGACTTTACAGTATGAGTCCAAAGTTGCATAACAAGTTGCAGAAATGTGAATGGAGCCTAAATGCACATTTTCTGCCAAAATATGTACATTTATTATTTTTCCTTTAAAGGTGAACTTATCCTATATGGTTCTGGTAATAAGTGTTGCAGTTGCCAGCATGCTTATGTCAGCTCCCAACTGGTCTTTCAAGCCCCCAAATGGTTGGTGTCATAGTATGTCATCTCTGCAGTACCATGACAACTGCAGATCTAAATAGAAGCTAAAATGGCACCATCCTCAGTAGATAATAGGATGGGTGGTTTAAGTTCAGAATAAACAAACATGAATTACTTTATACAGAAAAAGTATAAATAATAGGAAATGTAAAAAGCCTGAAAAACAAGATAAAATAAATACAGTGTTGGTGTGTCTTGAATAAACTAGTATGACTGCTTTGCAATCTGAAGGCATAGGGCAGGCACTGTAGGGGGTATTGAATTATAGGAATACACAAATTATATAAAGCAATGCCTGTAGCATTGTGCCTCATGGTTCTTAACCTCACTCAGCAGTTAGTTGCATATCATTTAAGCAATTAACACATTTTGTCAATTTCTATGGCACTGGAGAGATCTAGACATTGCATTTTTCTACAGAGAAGATAAGACGTGATGTTTTAACCAGTGCCAATAATAAAACAATGCTCTCTCCCATACAGTAATGTTTAACTACTAGCTCAGTGTATTGCATTTCAGATTCTTGTTGCTGTAATCTAGGAGGATTTATATTTAAAATATATTTTTAAGAAATTAATTTCACAACTTTTTAATCCATTACAAAAATTACACCTTTCTTTGCATGTGTGAAATGCACCGAAATGTTCCACTAATGTTTTTTGTTACATAAATACTTTATTAGTTTAGATAAGGTGGCATACAATTATAGCAACATCCAATTGTAACTCCTTAAGCAAACTAAGTGAAGTAAGGAAAAGAACAGTTGCCGTAACACATTTTCAACAAACAATTTATGTATAACCAGGGGTGGACTGACAACTCATGGGGCCCACGGGCAATAGGGGATCATGGGGCCCCTGTGTCCTTGCCCAAACTCAAAAAAAACCTATGATAAAGGTACCAGGGGCATCTCATGGAGCCCCCTACTGACCCCGGGCCCTCGGGCAGTGCCCGAGTTTCCAAATGTTCAGTCCGCCTCTGTGTATAACTACTGGACATCTCCAATAAAATTGTATTGTTGAAGTAACTAATGCACCGATGGAAAACAGGGCTCAAATAGAGTTATTTGAAAAGTAATTATAATAAAAGAGGAAGAAAGTAGGACCTGAGGTAAGAGTAAGGTGGAAGGGGAACTGATGGGTGACAATGCCTGCTCTCTACCAGTGGAACCCCCACCCTCTGGTGAGAGAAGAAACATCTTTGACTTCTAAATAAATTCAAGTATTAATCAAGTGTAAGTACTCTTCTGCACCAGAGATGACATTACCAATGACCATGATATGCATCCATTGTTTTGAAATGAGATCATGCAGTGTTGCAGTGTTGTAAGCCTATCTTGAGAAATATGTATAAGTTTCTCCATTTCTTCAATTCTATTAAGCCTGTTAAACCATTTCCTTGTCACTGGGACTTGTTTAGATCACCAATGTACTTAAACTCACAGCCTAGCTGTATTAACCATAGATATGGCCAGTGATTTAAAATAAGATTTTCTAGGTAAGGATGTGTGATGAAGAAGGTATTGTGCTGGAGTGTGGTCCAAGGAATATGTAGTAACATTGGTGATGATCTTGTACACTTCCTGCCAAAAACTTTAGAGCTTTGCACAGGACCATCATATGTGTATCATTGTGCCTTCCTCCTGTTCACCATGTTAAAGAGCTTTTATGGATATAGGTATTTATGGACTCCCGGTCCTCCTCAAACAGTTCCATACCTAAATCCTTCTCTCAGGCTGAATATGCAAAACCAGAAATGGAGGAAAGATCCCTAAACACATATGGGTAAAGTGTGGAGATCAGGGGTCTTTGAGGGGAATTTTTGGTGCACAAAGGCTCAGAAGAGGTAAGGGCTCTTGAGCATGTACTGTTTGCAGTTGGGACAGCTAAGCAATGTTTAAGTTACATGTGTGTTCAATGGGAGATGGTATGTGACTTAGAGAGTGAGACTGAGCCTTGGTTCACACTCAATCTGACTTTGAAATTGTGCAACTTCACTTGTTAGAGGGATTGGAGTAGACAACAGGGAGGTGGAGTTAAAGACCATATACAAACCTTGAATAGAGGAGTTTATAAATAGGTGTGCTAGTTCTGATTTGAGAACTTGTTGGGGTGAGAACCAACCAGAGAGCAGAAGGATTTTTCTAAGGATATCCAAATTTTCCCTTTTCATGGACATTCCAGTCTATTATTTCTTGTGAGCTGAGCCCAAAAGCACTTCTTGATGTCAGGAAGTTGAATGCCACCCTTGTGCTTCGGTAAATTGAGTTGAATGTACTTTCCAGATAAAGGCGGAGCTGTGCTAATGTTTCACCTCTACCACAAGCAGAGTTTGTTTCCATTAAATGTAATAGATAAAGATTAACTGCAAGCTTAGTTAAGATAAAAAAAAAAATCAGGATTGCTTCGTAATGCATCCCTGTATAGGCATTTGACTTTTGGACTCCAGACCTTGCAGCGGCTGCATCCATCTCTGTCGGCAGTTTCATTTCAACTTCAGCTCATGCTTTCCATAGACAGTGGCCAAGGTGGGGATCTGGGATAACTCATACACTGACTCTGGACTTCCTCCAAGCCACCTGACAAGCCTCTATACCCCACAGTTGTTTGTGAGTGCAACTATTGATTTTATTTTGTCTGTTAAACTCTTTTATGCATGCTACACCAAGGGGTGTGCAATCCTATCCATTCTTGTTCTATACAAATCTTTAGAGTACTGTGACTCCCCCCCACCTCAAGCCTTTTTTTTTATTATAGTGCTAAAACATAAAAAAAACATACTTTAAACCGTTACTATTTATTTATTTCATGGGGGTAGTTTTCTGTAGAGGATCAAATTAGCATTTTTCAATATTGATTTGTATTACATCAATAAATATTTGGGATATATGTGCATGACTACTGTTATACTGTTATACATTATACCTAGTGAAGCATATTTACAGTATCAACAGATTTTTGCTAGTCAGCTGTTTGCTAAATTTGAGTGTAACCAGGGGCGGACTGACCATTTGGAAACTCGGGCACTGCCCAAGGGCCCGGGGTCAGTAGGGGGCCCCATGAGATGCCCCTGGTACCTTTTTCATAGGCTTTTTTTAGTTTGGGCAAGGACACAGGGGCCCTATTGTCTGGGGGCCCCATAAGTTGTCAGTCCACCCCTGAGTGTAACATGTATCACGGTGTAAAAAGGTGAAGTTAGCCTTGAATCTGTAAGTACATTTTTGTAATTTTTTGTAGAAGGAGATTCACACAAACATGGGAAGAAACATGAAAACTTCATGCAGATAGTGTACTTGGTGAAAATTTAATTCCGGAACTCCAGCAATCTCAAAATAAAGTTACAGTGGCACAAACAACTGAGTTATGAGACCATGCCAGGTGTGAAGGAAGACAAAACTACCCAACTAGCACTCAAGGAGTTAGCCATAGACAACATAAAAAGTAAACCCAATTTATATTTAGTGGAAACTAATAAAGAAAAACATCTGTTGTACTCTGGGTCCTGTTGCCACCAAGGATATTATGCACATGGTGTTTTTATTTTTATCATATGTCTGCATGGGTTTTTGATTCCACTCATCATATACTAGTATGTTTATTGCTGCCACTACAAAAAATGGTCCCTAGGATTGGCTTAGGTAAACCGCATTAATGTTACTATAAATGTACAATATATTTATTGTTTACTGGGCTATTATTGCCAGTGTTAACCTAAATGCTTCACTAATTTGAACCATCCTGCTTCCCATCTGCCATTGCACTGATGCTTTCAACCCTCCTGCTTCCTATACTAGCCAACATTTTGGAAGTAGGTGTAACAGAAATAAGTGGGGACCCAAAAACTAAACATTTCTGATTTTACCCTACATACTGCTCCCCTTTGGGAATTCCTTTGAACTATCTTAGATGCTTTTTCAGTCCACTTCTAACTAAGGGCATATTTACAGCAGATGCATAGTCAAATGACATAAAAATTGAAAAATCCATTGACACCACAATGTTATGTTCAGAAACCTCTAAAAAAAAATGCCCTGCATGCAGGATTTTTGCTGACTTAACATTGGTGTAGTTGATTAAATGAAGACCTTCAAAAAAGCAACACAACATATTTATTTTTGTTTAATTATTGTTCATTATTTAATAATTATTAATTATTTCTTATTAAGTATCATTAATTATTGTTACATATAAAGGTTAAACAAGACATACCGGTACCTCATTGGAGTTTGGTAGCTAACAAAACACGTGCATTAACCATTCTATTTAAAATGTAAGATTTTTTTTTTTTTAGGATTATACAGTGGCTGCACTAATACTACAATATATAATACTTATACTGTATAAAAATAGCAGAACTTTATCATGCATTATAATGAAATGATGGTTCCAATGTATTGTTAATACACATCTTACATGATCTTTGTTTAATTTTAAATAGCAGACATATTTATCACCTGATCTTAAGTAAAAATTCTTGCAATGAAGCAAGTTTAACATTATTTATCAGTTCAGACAACTTTATGGTAAATGTCTTTGTGTATGGCAGTATGAATTGAACATAACTACAATATTTCATGACAGATTAAATGTGCCACAATTCATAAATCTCTATTAGGCTTGAGATGATCATCTTTACAGTTTATTTCAGAGCATAAAATTCATAAGCAAATTTGTCTGAGTGTAGTTAATTAAAAAGAGATATATACCAATTCTTTGAGCCAATATGTTTATTAATGTGTTTATGTGCAATTAAACATATGAAATTTGAAGATTATAAAAATTCGAAATAAGCCTGCAATAAAATGCTTCACCGGTGAAAAAAAGACAACAGCATTTCAAGCATGAATATCACATTAAACAATTATATGACAGTAATTGAATTTCCAAAGAATGAACTTGTAAACATATCAGGCATATATAAATGATAATTTCCTTAAAAAAACAACAGATTCATTTGATTGCCAGAAGGCATTATCAAAAGTAAAAAGGACCTACATAGAATAATTTCTATAAATATGGCCCTTACAGTTAAAAGATTATGTTCCTTTTGATCTGAATGTACCAGAGTTTTCCACATTTACACACACACTATGTGTAACTCTGAATATTCAGCTGAAGGTAGACATTTTCACATTCTTCACCCCACATGTAAAAGCTTAAGCTTTGCTACATATTGGCAGGCATGAGAGCTGGGCCTGCATAAACATTTCTAAATTCTCTATGCACTGAATCTAGATATTTTATCTTTTGTATTTTTCATAATAAGGAATTCAATTCATTCACAAATACAAGCCAAAATTAGTACAGAAATGACAGACGGGTTAATTTAATAAAATTGTAGAAAATCTGCACTTTGTAAATTAAAGGTTCACGTAGCTTAGTGAGTATGGCAATGTTATATTTCAGCCAATTTAGTCATATGCAAGTAAAAATCTTATTTCTTTTTTTATTATTTTATGTGCACATTACTTAGTCCTTGAAGTTAGCAATTCTTCATCTTATTTACTGAGCTAAGTGAATATTCGCCTTTTTAAGGGAGCGTAAAGTGGAGTTGCAGTACCAGCAGAGGCCAGGGGTGACAAGTGCTAGAACACACTGGGGGAGATTTACTAAAAATGGTGTACATGGAATCTGGTGCAGCTGTGCATAGTAACCAATGAGCTTCTAACTTTAGCCTGTTCAATTAAGCTTCGACAATAAAATCTGGAAGCTCCTTGGTTACTATGCACAGATCCACCAGATTTGGTGTACACCAGTTTTAGGAAATCTCCCCCACTCTTTCCTACTGAGCAAGCACAGGGAGATAGACAAAGCTATTCCTAACCAAAAAGAGCTAGCACACTTTCTGTGACCCTAGGGTAAGGGGGTGCATGTAGGGGTGTGCCATCTCTGACACCATTAACCAGGCATACACTTGAGAATGAGGAGCTACTGGTTAGTTTTAGTGCTGCAGGGTGGTAGTAATTTCCACGTGTGTGTCTGTTTGTGTAGTACAACACTAAAGAGCTTTTGTAGTGAATTTTTTTAAAGAAAAAAAAAAAAGTATTGTGTAGGTTTGGAGACTGGTGGTGTACAGTTATCAGGAGAAACAATGGTGGGGGGGGGGGGGTTGCTTAGAGAAAGAGAGTGTGTGCCTTGGGCCTGACGTGGAGCTTAATGATTGGAGTTTGATTGTTCTCCCTGTGCCTGCGTGGGTTTCCTCCGGGTACTCCGGTTTCCTCCCACATTCCAAAAACATGCTGGTAGGTTAATGGGCTCCTGTCTAATTTGGCCCTAGTATGTGTAATGTATGTATGAATGTAAGTTAGGGACCTTAGATTGTACGCCCCTTGAGGACTGGGATTGATGTGAATGTACAATGTATATGTAAAGCGCTACATAAACTGACGGCGCTATATAAGTACCTGAAATAAATAAATAAATGACCAATGGGGCCTGTAATAAAAGTATCTGTTGCCCTCTATGTCTAGTGATTCCAAGAGCTAGTGTACTATTACAAAAAGTATAAACTGTCAGTTTTGAAGATACCGAGGTTGACATTATGGAGTTATGTTACTACCTCCGTGATTAAACTGCTAGTACTTATTGGTTTATTTGGGATTTAGTCACTGGGAAGGAGGGATATAATTGCCAGCCCACAGGGCATTATAGCACATGCACATTTGTGGGGTCCTTGTGTAGTTTGGAGTTCATTCATTTATTTAATTAACTATTTAAAGTAGTTTTTGGGAGAGGCAGTGCAGCAATTTTTATTTTTTCAAATGGATGTTTGTTTTCGACAAAAGTGACAGAAAAATTTGAATGGGCAGGAAGGAAAACTTTTCTCGGCCAGTGTATGTGGTTATCGTGCAGAAATTACATTCATTTTAAAAGCAAAAGACAGTTTTCAAACAATGTTCGTCCATTCATCAAATGTGCAAAGAATTTTTGTATGACTTTTATTACAAATATTCTCAGCTGAAAATCTACACGTGGATGACCAGCTTAACTTCAACTTATGCAATTAAGCTTTGACAATAAAACCTGGAAGCTGATTGGATTCTATGCAGAGCTGCACCAGATTTTACACCATGCAGTTTTAGTAAATAACCCCCACAGTGTGGTGTGAATGGGCCCAAAATCACCCTCACGGAGTTCTTTCTAAAGGCTGACCAACCAAATATGCTTTTTGTGAGGAAAAAGGTTCATGTATATTTTAAATGGGGAGTGGTATCATAACAAAAACTGATAATAATAATAATTTTTTTAAATAATAATATTAATAATAATATTTTAGTTCTCCTAAAGCGCAATAGAGCTTTCTATTTCACACAAATCAGACTGCAGTGACACATATCACTGCTATAACTATCAGGCATATATGGATTTATAAAAGTATGCTTGCTTATTGGAAAAAATGTTTTGAAAACATCACTATTGCTATTGCAGGGCAAGTAAAATAATTTATAGTGAATTTCTTAATTTATCATAAAGTTAATTGAGAAAAAATGCTTTTTTTTTTTTTATATTTTTCAACAACAAATACCATTACTCTTGCTGTGCTTTATTCACACTCAGGTTCCCAGGCATATTTTTGTAACAGTTTCTCTATATTATATGTGTTAATTTAATACCATATGTTTTAATTCATTTTATATACTTTAATTCAATACCATATCTCCTGTGGAACGTGTTCTTTTTTCTTTTGGGGGGAGGGGAGAGGTTATAAACATTTATTGCATATATATATATATATATTATTTTTTTTTTTTAAGTAAAAAGTATGTTTTTTCTGGAAGATTTTAGTTGTTTAGTGCAAAAAATGGCTAAGGGGTTACAAATCTGGGGCCACAAACATGGGATAGTGACTGTCACAAAATAAAGTTACAGGCACACAAACAGCTGAATTAGAAGAAAATGCCAGACAGAAAAGAAGACAAATGTAGCCAGCTAGAACCCAAGGGGTTAACCATGTTCATTAATTCATGCACATTAACATGTGTTGCTTTCAGGCTGCTCTTTCAAAACTAGGTGGCTGCCAACACACCCTTACATGCTTTACTCCTTCATGTGTGCTTTAGTTCCAACAATGCTTGTCTATCATGTGATCTCTGTGGTTGGCTCTCACAGTAGTCGAATGATTGGGGAGGTCATTTAGCTGGCTCCAGATCAGAAGCCACAAAATCACATATGACCGTTTTGTTCTATTCCAATGCATACAAACACAATATGATGCCTTGTGGCCTGCCACAATATAGGTGTATTGCCTTGGGGTATATGAGCTTGTTAAAATATGCATTTCTCATGTAAATTACAATGTGCAGCACTCTTACACAGAAGTGTGAACAATGCCATAAACATTTACATTGTTCAAAAGTGTCACGATAAGGTACTACATTTCCAACACTAAAAAGACATTCCATGTATTCTGATAAGTAGTACAAATAGTCTTGCTCATTTCCTCTACTGATAATACTGTATATTGTAGACTTTCTGCTCCTGTGTGTTCTTGACTTGAAAAATATATTTTTTCAAAACAGACAAAAATCTCATATGAGAACATATTTATATGACTCTTTAAAATAAGAAGTCCAAAGCAGGGTCTAGTAGCAAAAAATAACTAGTTTAGAGAGGGGAATAGAAGATGATTTTCTGCCTGAGAAAGGTAATTCTGATGTCCATTATGGAGTCAACTCTTTGGCAGGACTTTATTTTAAAAAGTGTAAACTGGATTGCAGGTTCGTTTTAAATACCTGCAAAAGGGCAAATGCAGTTAGCCACCTGGAAGCAGATATTCTCAGATCTAAAAATTAAACTGACCTGCGGAACTATTCTACATAGTACATTAACTGCTTCCCACCCAGCCAATGTAGATGAACACCTGGGCAGATGCTTTCTATTTCCTGGGGCATGCAGTGGTGTAATCAGTGACTGCTGTGTCCACTGGACACAGCAGATTACAGTGCCCAGTAGCGAGTTGCTGTGATTGGCCCTGTTACCATATGATCACTGTGATCACTGTGACCAATCACAGCGATCACATGCTCACTAGTAAACAGCCGTCAGGAATGGCATCCATTCATGATAGCATTGTTTAGTATTGTGATCTCTGTGATTGGTCACAATACCAACAGTCTTGTACAGTGTGATAGCTGTAGCCAATCACAGCTATCACAATAGTAAACAATGAATCCTGAATGAAAGCTATTCATGATAGTTAAAACAATTGATTTTACAGTACTCATCACTGTAAAGCAATCATGGTGTAAAAATAACTACACTACTCCAGTGACAGTGTGCAAAAAAAATTGTAAAAATATAAAATTGTAAAAAAAAGTTGTAAAAATAATTATATATTTTTTTCTTTTTTACATAATGTCACCAGTCAGTGTCCCTAATCTCTGCCACACCAGTTGCAGAGTCCCTGACCATTGGCACACCAGTCATTTTGTCCTTGATCACCACCACACTAGTATCATTGTCTCTGATCACTGCCACACCAGCCCCAGTGTGCCTGATCATCCCCACACCAGTCATATTGTTACTAATCACTGCCACACCAGTTACAGTGTCCCTGATGACCACCACACCAGTTAAAGTGTTCCTGATAATCCCCACACTATTTACAGTGTCCCTGATTACCATCACAGCAGTCACAGTGTCCCTGATCACCATCACAGCAGTCACAGTGTCCCTAATCACTACCACAGCAGTCATAGTGTCACCGTAAAGACTTATTCCCCTGTGCAATGCTCTCTGAAAAGTCACCCATGTTCAGATCACTCTTCAGAGAGCATTTAGCAGATAGTGAGGAGTAACCCCAATCACGTGAATGGGTCATGATTGTCAGGTTTACAGGGAGTAGAATTCCTGTCACAGCCATTAAGCAAAACATCACAGTCACGGCATGTGTATACTCCCAGCTGCTGCCTTTGCAGCTAGATGAGGTACCAATTGAAGGGTGGAAAAACCATGGCTCAACCCTGAGGTTTCATCACACCCCCACCTCACGTGTGAACGAACCCTGAAGGTGCAGCCAGTCACAGTTCTCCAGTTACCATCACACCAGCCATAGTTTTACCAGACATCTTAACTGACTACTTTGCATGACACCAGTCCCAGCCATCCCCTATGGAGAACTGTGCACCTGGAACCAGAGGAAAGCTTGTTATTCCTTTCTTTAGCCTCCTGTGCTTCCTGGCCAGTGAATATGGCATTCCTGGGAGCAGCCACATACCAGTAGGCTAGGCTTGCTTGGCTTGTAGGAAAAATGGCTGCTATAGGTGATGCTACACCAAGATATATTCCCTGTCCACTTATAAAGAGACGACCATTACAGTACAATGGTTTTGATACAATTGGTTGATTTTTGTGATATACAAGATACAATGTCTGATAAATTTTCAGTCCAGGCACTGAAAAAGCCTCACACATGTGGTATTTCCATATCAAAAGGGGTAGCACAATGTGTTTTGGGTTGTATTTATAAGTACACTCACCGGCCTGTTTTTAAGTTACACCTGTTCAATTGCTTGGTAACACAAATTGCTAATCAGCCAATCACATGGCAGCTACTCAATGAATTTAGGCATCTAGACATGGTGAAGACAACTTACTGGAGTTCAAACCAAGTATCAGAGTGAGGAAGAAAGGGGATTTAAGTGACTTTGAATGTGGCATGGTTGTTGGTGCCATACAGGCTGGTCTGAGTATTAAAAAAAAACTGCTTATCTACTGGGATTTTCATGCACAACCGTCTCTAGGGTTTACAGTGAAAATATCCAGTGAGCAGCAGTTGTATGGATGAAAATGCCTTGTTGATGTCAGAGGTCAGAGGAGAATGGGCAGAGATGATAGAAAGGCAACAGTAACTCAACTACTTGCTACAACCAAGGTATGCAGAATACCATCTCTGAACTCACAATACGTCAAAGCAGATGGGCTACAGAAGCAGAAGACCACACCGGGTGCCACTCCTGTCAGCTAAGAACAGGAAATGATTTCTTGAACATGGTAATGAGTTCACTGTACTTTAATGACCTCCACAGTCATCAAATCTCAATCCAATAGAGCACCTTTGGGATGTGGTGGAATGGGAGATTCACATTATGGATGTGCAGCCAACAAATCTGCAGCAACTGCATAATGCTTTCATGTTAATATGGACCACAATTTCTTTGTAATGTTTCCAACACCTTGTTGAATCTATGCCATGAAGAATAAAGGCAGTTCTGAAGGCAAAAGGGGGTCCAACCTGGTACTAGCAAGGTGTACCTAATGAAGTGACCGGTGAATGTATGTTTATGCTGTATGTGAGAGATATCCTATTACATTGACAACTGTGTAAAAAAAATAACTTTCATTTTCATTCTGCATTTCCAAAAGCTTGGGATAAAAAATGAAGTTCTCAAAAGACTCCCATTCCCCTAGGTTGTAAAAACTCTCACATATGTGGTATCCTCACACTTTAGAGGCATAGCAGAATGTGTTTTGGTGTCAGGGGCGGACTGACCATTTGGAAACTCGGGCACTGCCCGAGGACCCGGGGTCAGTAGGGAGCCCCATGAGATGCCCCTGGTACCTTTTTCATAGGATTTTTTGAGTTTGGGCAAGGACACAGGGGCCCCATGATGCCCTATTGCCCGGGGGCCCCATGAGTTGTCAGTGTGCCCCTGTTTGGTGTGTAACTATAAGTATGCCTATGCTGTGTTTGAGACATAACGTGTTAAAATTACAACTTTGTTGACAAAATTTTTTAATTTCTTAATTTTCCAAAAAGTTGTGACAAAAACACTTCAAAAACTCACCATGTTGCTTACTATATACCTTGGACTGTTTTTCAAAAAGGGGTCATTTATGTGGTATTTGTACTGTCCTGGCAAAGGCAGTCAGTATATCAGGATTGATCACTTTTCAAATATATATACCATAGTTTGTAGACTCTATAACTTTCACACAGAGTAAATAATTTACACTGACTTGGATTATTTTACCAAATAAATGCAGCAGAATACATGTTGGCCTAAATATATGAAGAATGATTATTTATTTGCAAAATGTTATAACAGAAAATAAAAAAAGTGTTTTTTTTCTCAACATTTTCAGTATTTTTTCATTTATATAACATAAAAAAAACAGCGGTGATTAAATACCACCAAAAGATAGCTCTGTCTCTAAAACTCATTTGGGTACAGTGTTGCATGACTGAGTACTTGTCATTCAAAGTGTGACAGCGCTGAAAACTTAAAAATGGCCTGGTCAGGAATGGGGAGAAAGTGTCCTGTATTGAGGTGTATAATGCAGGGGAAAAGTATCAGTAGCTTTCCCTGCATAGGTACTGCAGTTCCTACTGAAAGTCTCCCTCTTTGAGAGCATACTATCTACATTGCATCTATAGTAGCTGTGTTCATACAGCTTATTTGGGAAAGTAAGAATTCTGTTTAATTGCATTTTGTATTTAAGATACTGAAGACACTTGTCTTATATTCTTAATATTAAATACTTTTGCTCTAGGGCAAATTACCGAAACGTATTGTGATACATGAAGCATTTATCAAACATAGATCAAGAAGAGAAAAAGTGATGATCATCACGGAACCTAATGTGCTTTGTAAACACACGATACATGTTATTATTTGCCATGGTGTTACATCAATCTTCTTCCTAAAAGTTACATTTATGAATAAATTTTATGCATGCTTTCATGTCATCTAACATCTTGAATGCAAAGAAATAAACAATATCCTTGCATCCAAATTTATTTCAAGGTCAAGATAAAAAGTTATTTTTATGTCTATACAAAAACATGTCAGACTGCTTCTGGCAACAATACTATGAAGTCTGATTTTATTTTATCTGTGAAGTTTGCGATTATCTATAAAAGAAAAGCGTTTATGTTTTCTCAACATTTCCAATTTCATTAAACTGACTCTATGGCCTCTTTTAAAGTTTTTTCAATATAATGTGATTGTGATCAGCATAATGTAAATAATGTTATCATCATTTTATAAAACCATATGTGGCTTTTAAAAAAAAAAAATATATATATATATAGTGTATATTAACAGTAAAATATTAATTTGGTTCAATACAATTAGACGTTTGCACCAGAACTGATCAGATTTTGTAAAGATATGATTCTTACCTTATACAGTATATGTATTGATTCCTGATTCTGACTCACTCAGATGTGATTCATTAAAATCATATATCTAATTGTGGGGTTGATGATTATTGCAGGATAAAATATAATGTTAAAAACAATGACAGCACTAGCTGAAAAATGTTTAAGGAAAAAACATTATGTGGGGCTGTTTTAATGCCTCAGTGCATGGATAGACTGTAATTGTTAAAGAACCAGCTAATTTCCATTTTTATCAGGAAATTATTACATCTCAAATTAATCCAAGTCAAACAGTATAGATAAATGACCCAAAATATAAGTGTAAATCAGGAAAATTCTCGATTTTAGAGTGCTGACTTTGCACCCACTAATGTTATATGAAACAAGATGTTCAAGCAACACATTCCAAAAATATCTGAACTAAAACACTATTACAAACAGGACTAGATCTAATATATCCTAAACAGTGCTTAGGTAGGACACCCGCAGAAATATTATCCACAAAATAGGTTCCCCAAAGGCATCACAACATAAACGTTTTGGGTGTCTTGATAAAACTGCCGTTTACTTGGACTTACAGCTTTTTTCTGGATCAATCATGCAGAAAACCAGCCTACATACAAAACCTATATTTTCTATGTAGCGGGTGCTTCTGTCCCCCACTCTCCCCAATTCCCCCACCATTCTTCTCCTGTCAGCAGTGCGGGGAGACTAAAATGGGGAACAGAGAGGCTGTGCAGTGAGAGGAAAGAGCTAGGAGCCCAGGAAAAAGATCTGAAATGGTAGTGCTACAGGGGATGGAGTGGAGAGATGACTGTTGGGAGACGCCAAGAAAGAGAGAGAGAACCATGCTGCCTGGCTCCATCAGAGAGAGAAAGAAACTGAGCCACTGCCGGGTTACAGACGTGCTTCACTACAGACTGGAGTTACCAGGGCAACCCAAAGTGAGTGAACATGCAGCTAGAGGGATCATTGCTGCAGTTTCACTTGGTCTGGTGAGAGGACTTGTTGGCCATTACCCACTACCACTCCTAGGGACTGAACCATTAGGAACTACCTACCATCTACCCCATAGCTAAAGTACTGCCTGCAGGCCTTATTGACTGCCTTAACCTCCCTAGCAGTATGATTATGTCAATATTTCTGTGCTCAAAGCTGTACATTTTTTTGCATGGAGAGATGTTGTTTTTGTATTGTAGGCCTGTAATCTGTAGGAATAACTCACTGAAATCTGTCCGAACAAGAGTCTAGTAAACATCCCGGGTATGATAAAATTTGAAACACAAAATCATAAATTATAATTTAATAAATAATCATAAAACATAATAATATAATAATAAATTTAATTCAATAATATAATCAAACCAAAAACACTAAAATTTGAAATAGAGCGCCAAGTTCACACATCACTGAGCTTAGTCGCAAAACGTTTTCAGTGTCTGATGATAAATTTCCCCACGAATCTTTATCACTCAATTCTGCAAGTGGTTCTGATTTACTATCGCTGTTTCTCTAGCTGGTCTAAAAACCGCTTTTGACATAAAGGGATGCTTTTTGGACGCCATGGACTTTTTTCAGTTTCCAAGCAGAAAGAACGGTAAAAATGCAGGTAGGGCACAGGACAAAGCACTAGGGACAAAATGTATGTGAAATGGTTTGATACAGTAATGTTATACTATGTGATTTTAGTGTATTTCATGAATGTCACTTTTTAAAATGTTTAAATTTCCCGCCATACATCCCGATGCTCGCAGGGAGCGGAACCCGGAAGACGGATGCTGGCATCGACCGGAGGAGATGGCCGGGGACGCTGCAGGGGGGAAATCGCAGGAGCACAGGACAAGGTGGGTGAAACAGGGAATCCCAGAGCAACGCTGCAGGGTAGCTTGGGGTTGCCGCTTTTGGTACTGATAATTAACCCCGAGCTACACTCGGGAATACCACCAGGGGGGGGTTGAAGGATAAGTTAACTTTTACACAAAAAATAATACATGCACTTTTTTTGCAGGTAAAAAAAATGTGCATTTATTATTTTTTTATGTTAGGAGCCTCTAAAGTAATGGTCTCCAAACTATGGCCCTCCAGATGTTGAAGAGCTGCAAGTGCCATGAGGCCTTGCAAAACTCTGACAGCCACGGACAAGACTCCCAGAGGCAGAGGCATGATGGGACTTCAACAGCTGGAGGGCCATAGTTTGGAGACCCCTGTTCTAAAGTATTGCACCAGCGATCAGCATATCACTGATGCTATGTAGGTCTCCTGCAGAATGTCAATGTATCTGCTTGCCTGTGAAAGGAATGATTTTCTTTTCCCCTCAGAGACCCCCGGTCTGTGGAGAGATTCCTGGTTTATCAGCAGAATTCTGGGAACACCCCTTGAACACGGAAATCACGACAGCTAATGTTCAGAGATGTTCAAAGTTTATTAGACATTAATAAGATTATATAGACTACAGATAATAATAAGGGAGGGGGGAGCGAGTTTCAAAACTGTAACTTGTAACTTTCCATCATGAGCTAACTACATGAAACATGACATATACATTTCTTGGTACAAATTGTTTTGGCTAACTTTCTGGGAAAACAGCCAGACAAAGACATTGTCAGGGTCGTGTTAGCTTCTGTTGATACATCCTTGAACAACCAAAAACAGTTTCATTAAACTTCTAATATCTCTACAAAAAGCTAACTTAATACTTAATACTTAAAATGGCGTACATAATACAAAATGGAAGTTATCTAGATCCTTTCAATCCCCTCTAAGATCATGAACATGATCTCAATTCTTTACATAGCCAGATAACCTTCATTTGTATTTTGCAGCTTTGTAGCTCTAGCAATGCAATATAATGAGCATTTAAAACATAGATATAAAGATAAAACAAAAAACAATATCATGACTATGCTTACAGCGATACCTTTCATCCATGAAAAGATGGAACCAAATCCTGATCCTAACCAATCAAAAGGAGTCCATCCATCTTTTCCTATAGCTCTAGCTTCTTCCATCAAACCATCTACCTGTTCCCTGTGTTGCTTTATTATTTCATAATAATCTGGAACAGTCATTGTGGTATTATATATCCAAGTACAACATTCATAATCCTCTGTCATCTCACACAAACCTGTCAGAGCAGCACTCATACTTTCAATAGCTAATTCTTGCATCTCCAGCTGTTTTCTAATAGCTCTGGTCTCAGTATTTAGCAACCCTATGTCCTTAGAGTTCCTCTCCAGTATGTCATCAATAATGTTTGTGTAATTGTTATTTAGAGTTAGAGAATAGATTGGTGTTTTGGGTATGTACTCAGGCTTTTACCTGGTGTTCCTTTTGGTCTATAGCTGCCATAAATTGGCACTAATTGGGCTACATAGCACCAGCCCTGGACATTACTCGGTATCCAAGGGTAACAGATCTTACCACAACAGATATAGGTATTATTCCTCCAGTTCTACACCCAGGGGAGTTTGAGTTTGAAAAGATATGGTGGCTATTAGAAGTAATATTGGTCAATACCCAATACTTACATTCC